GCGCAGTGGTGGCCGCCGCTATATTTGGGAGGCTCGCTGGGGGTCCTGCGTTGGGTTACGCGTGCAATGTGTGTGTGTCAGTGTGTGTGTCAGTGTGTGTGTCAGTGTGTGTCAGTGTGTGTGTCAGTGTGTGTGTCAGTGTGTGTGTCAGTGTGTGTGTATCAGTGTGTGTGTGTCAGTGTGTGTGTCAGTGTGTGTGTCAGTGTGTGTGTCAGTGTGTGTGTGTCAGTGTGTGTGTGTCAGTGTGTGTGTCAGTGTGTGTGTGTGTGTCAGTGTGTGTGTTAGTGTGTGTGTCAGTGTGTGTGTCAGTGTGTGTGTGTCAGTGTGTGTGTCAGTGTGTGTGTCAGTGTGTGTGTCAGTGTGTGTGTGTCAGTGTGTGTGTCAGTGTGTGTGTCAGTGTGTGTGTCAGTGTGGGTCCTGTGTGTGTGTCAGTGTGTGTGTCAGTGTGTGTCAGTGTGTGTGTCAGTGTGTGTCAGTGTGTGTGCCAGTGTGTGTGTCAGTGTGTGTGTCAGTGTGTGTGTCAGTGTGTGTGTCAGTGTGTGTGTGATGGTGTGTGTGTCAGTGTGTGTGTCAGTGTGTGTGTGTCAGTGTGTGTGTGTGTGATGGTGTGTATGAGGAGCGGTAGTGTAGCGGTTAGCACGTTGCGCTACGAACCCGGTGACATGAGTTCGATTTCCGCTCACGGCCATCGACACCGGTGACGATTATTTGAACTGGTGCTGGGCCTCCCCTAGGTCGACTCAGCCTCAAATGAAAAGGATAAATGAGTACCTGGTGCGGTGTGTAAAAACATCGCCACTAGGGAGACAAAGGCGGCCGGGCGTGGTGCTGGCCACCCACCCCCTCGTGCGCCATGCCGGCCTTCACAGGTGCTGACAGCGCTTGCCCCAGCAGTCTGATCTTGTCAAATGCAGTGCCGGATTATATCCTCGTAGCACAAGTAGCTACATAATGCTACGGGCCCCGCAATTTCAAGGGCCCCGCGCTAAATGCTTTCAAGCTATCAATTCCGGTTCGGTGACTCTGCACTTGCTCTATTACTATAGTCCTATACCGCCTTCAACTTTTATGAACGACTGGGCGTTTAAGGTTAGCGATTTGTCGTATTATCTGGCTGTATAGCAAATAAAAAAAATACAATTACTTTACTACGCAAGTTAAATATTTGTGTTTTAATCTTTGTGTGTTTTTTTTAAATATAGGGCTCCTTTATAACAACATGTGCTAAAAGCCCCGCACTTAGCTTAATCCGGCACTGGTCAAATGTCGGACACTTGGTCACACGTCTGTAAAACGATGACGCAGGGCACAGCAAAGAACAAAAAAAAGGAAGCACTTTACAATTGTACGCACACGTGCGCAATTGTGATGCCGATGTAGGATGGGAGTGCGTCTAATGCAGCCTGTAACAGACTTGTTGAGGCACGTGCTGTTTTGCGAGCAGCACCTTTGAAGACCGGCACGGCACACGAGGGGGTGGGTGACCAACACCACGCCCGGCCGCCTTTGTTTCCCCAGTAGTGACGTTTTACACACCGCACCGGGTAACTCATTTTTGGAGGCTGAGTCAACCTAGGGGAGGCCCAGGACCGGTTCAGATAATTATCGTCACTGGTGTTGGCCTTGAGCGGGAATCGAACTCGGGTCGCCGGGTTCACCGCTATACTACCGCTCCCCTAACACACACACAGACACACGCATAAACGTGCGCGTGTATGCGTGTGTGTGTGTATGTATGCGTGTATGGGTGTGTGCGTGTGTAAGGGAGCGGTCCGGATATTTCAGCAAAGGAACGGCTTCACAGGCTGAGTCACGACAAAGACAAAGATCCCCCGTGTAGCCTTGAACCGACTTGCCGGGGCCAAGTGCTGTTACCGAGCGCATAACGCTATGAAGGCCGGCACGGCACACGATGGGCGCACTAAGGGGGGGGGCTAACACCACGCCCGGCCACCTTTGTCTCCCCAGTGCAGATAATCGTCGCTCCACACGTACCGGCCGGCTAAGTAATTTAAGGCTGAGTTGACCCAGGGGAGTGACTCCTAGAGCGGGGGAGTCGTACCGCATGATGAGCTGTGCGCGTTGTTGTTGTCATGATTATCCGCGAATGTCCTTTACCGAGTCTCGAGACTCCTTCACGGGAGGGTCCTGCAGTGGAGGGAGCGATGCTGCTGCTGATTCTGCTGCTGCTTCTGCTGTGTGGAATCCCAATCGAGTAACCTGCAGTGGGAATCTTTCACCAATATTGGTTATGTAATGTTGTTTTTGTGTGCTCGTGTATTAATGTATTCCGTGGTGCAGCGGTTAGCGCTACGCTGCGCTATGAACCCGGCGACATGAGTTCGATTCCCGCCAACACCAGTGACGATTTTCTGAACTGGTCCTGGGCCTCCCCCAATGTCGACTCGGCCTCAAAACGAGTACCCAGTGCGGTGTTTAAGTGGGGAGACAAAGGCGGCCGGGCGTGGTGTTGGCCACCCACCCCCTCGTGTGCCGTGCCAGCCTTCATAGGTGCTCGCTAACAGCACTTGCCCCAACAGTCTGTTCAGGCTGTACGGGGGATCTTTGTCTTTTTTTGTTTACATATATCCGTAAGGCTATATGATTTTTTGCAACACATTTAATACCTTGCTTTACAAGTTTATAATCATCATCTGCCGTGGTCAATCCCACTGCCTCTAAAGAAATTCGCTTTAGCACGATTGGCTGTCTACGTTGCGAAATAAGTTGAACTTTCATTCCAACATAGACTCACACAGAGACCAATAGACTCACACAGAGACAAATAGACTCACACAGAGACCCATAGACTCACACAGAGAGACGCAGACTCACACAGAGACCTATAGACTCACACAGAGAGACGCAGACTCACACAGAGAGACGCAGACTCACACAGATACCTATAGAGTATAGACTCGCACAGAGACCCACAAACTCACAGAGACCCACAGACTCACAGACAGACCCACAGACTCACAAACAGACCCATAGACTCACAGACAGACCCATATACTCACAGACAGACCCATAGACTCACACAGACCTATAGACTCACAAGAGACCCATAGACTTACACAGAGACCTATAGACTCATACAGAAACCTATAGACTCACACATAGACGCATATACTCACACAGAAACTCATAGACTCACACAGATGCCCATAGACTCACACAGAGACCCATAGACTCACACAGAGACCCATAGACTCACACAGAGGCCCATAGACTCTCACAGAGGCCCATAGACTCACACAGAGGCCCATAGACTCACACAGAGACCCATAGACTCACACAGAGGCCCATAGACTCTCACAGAGGCCCATAGACTCACACAGAGGCCCATAGACTCACACAGAGGCCCATAGACTCACACAGAGAAACTCATCGTTTATTGTCCGTCCTCCGCACCTCCGAGTAGCACGGTTGGCTGCGTATGTCGCGAAAGAAGTTCAACGTACGCGTGCAATACAACGATAATGATTTACGATTTAAAGAACAAAACAAACCTCGTCGCGTTCGTTCAAACGGCGGGCAGCCGCGCTTGAGCCGGTGACTCCTCTTTGAGGAGCTGCTTCGTGACCCTCATTCAATGAAGGAGCCGCCGTGCCCTCCGTTCCCGTGTCCCCGTGCCCTCCGTTCCCGTGCCCTCCGTTCCCGTTCCCGTCGTTCCCGTGCCCTCCGTCTCCGTGTTCCCCGTTCCGTATTCGCCGTTCCGTATTTGCCACGTGCATCGCTGCTCTCGAAATATTGTGCGGTATTTTTTTTTACTGAACCCCCCCCAGCCCCCCAACTTCCGCCCCCCCCCCCAAAAAAAAAACCCAAGAACCTCTTCTTGTTATTTGGGTTTCCGGACCCCCCTCCCCGCTCGAGAGTGTAATACTCACGAGAGTGGGGGTGCTGCTCGTGACTCAGATCTCAACGCCAACTCGCGGATTCGCTGGGCGGGTAGAGGTGTGTGTGTGTGTGGAGGGTGGGGGGCATCATAGCCTGCCAACCTCGCACACACAACATCAACAACATCAACAACAAGAGTGACGACGGCGTCTCTCTGACCGTCGCCACCCGGCTGTCCTGACGATTGCCAAGATTGGCAAACGCTGACCGGGGCGTGTGATGGTGACGACGGTGGTGGTGGTGGTGCTGGTGCTGTTTACGAGAGATCGGTGGCCTATGTCTGGCCTCGTGGCACTTCACGAGGCAAGCCGCCTTGGGCCTGGCTTTGTGCGCCGATGGGAACACGCGCTGCGAGTTGGTCGGGAGATACTTGAATCCATCCGTGCGGAGCCCTGAGGGTTAGCCCCTCCTCTCGTGTGTGCGCGGCGATGCTCCGGTTATGGTGACAGTGACAGCGGGAACGATGATGATGATAATGATGATAATGATGGTAACAGCAGCGATGTTGATGATACAAATGATGGTGACGATGACGATGGTGTCAATGATGATGCTGACTGATGATTATGATGATGAAGATGGAAATGACTGTGACAATGAAGACAATGATAACGATGATTGTGACAATGATGACAATGACGATGGTGGCAATGATGACGACGATGACAATGATGACAATGATGACAATGATGACGGCGGTGACAATGATGACAATGATGACGATGGTGACAATGATGATGACGGTGACAATGATGACGATGATTATGATGACAATGACGGTGACAATGATGACGATGGTGACAATGATGATGACGGTGACAATGATGACGATGATTATGATGACAATGACGGTGACAATGATGACGATGATTATGATGACAATGACGGTGACAATGGTGACGACGGTGACAATGATGACAATGACGGTTACAATGATGACGATGGTGACAATGATGACGATGATTATGATGACAATGATGACAATGACGGTGACAATGATGACAATGACGGTGACAATGATGACAATGACGGTGACACTGACGATGACGGTGGTGACACTGACGATGACCGCTGTCCTCCTGCGCGACCTGGGCCAACAGATCATCTGAAGCCGAGGGCCATGCAGTCGGTGGGCGGCCCGGCAATGCTCTCCCGGCAGACGTCGCTCGGCTCGGCTGGCGACCTCATCGTCGGCCGCAACCATCACTGCCACCCTCAGCAGCTGGCGAGCGTGCGCGCCGCACAGGTGCAACGCTGGCACGGCGCCACCATCGCACACCACCACCGCCGTCGCCACCACCGTCGCCACCACCACCGCCGTGCACAGCACTGGGACAGCCGCCACCACCATCGCTACCATCGCCACCGCCGTCACCGCCACCGCCACCATCACCACCGCCTCCATTACCATCGCCACCGCCGTCACCGCCGCCATCGTCATCATCGCCACCATCACTGCCGCCTCCATCGCCATCGTCACCACCATCACCACCACTGCCACCACCATCACCACCACCAGGACAATCATCTGGTCCGTCTGGGTTGGCGAAACATAAGAACCCGTTCCGCGCCCGGCACACCACATCCAGTCTAGATCCGGGCTCTCGCTACGGCTGCCGGGGCTGTGAGTCACGTGCCGCCCAGCGACCTGGAAAACGTCGAGTGAAACATTAACCTGGGAGTGGCACTAATGAATTGATACAAGACGAAGATAACACGGCTCTGACTCGCACGCACGCACTGGAACAGGCAAAGACAAAGATCCCCCCCACCGTATAGGCTCAACAGACTGTTGGGGCAAGAGCTGTTCGTGAGAACCTATTAAGGCCGGCACGGCACACAAGGAGGTGGGTGGCCAACATCCACGCCTGGCCGCCTTTGTCTCTCTAGTATCAATGTTTACACATTGCACGAGGTACTCGTTTGAGGCTGAGTCGACCTAGGGGAGGCCAAGGAACGGTTCAGATAATCGTCACCGGTGTTGGCCGTGAGCGGGAATCGAACTCGGCTCACTAACTGCTTCTGAATTCAACTCACGAACCGAACTCGGCTCACTAACCGCTTCTGAACTCGGCTCGCTAAACGAACTCGGCTCACTAACTGCTTCTGAATTCAACTCACTAAACGAACTCGGCTCACTAACCGCTTCTGAACTCGGCTCACTAAACGAACTCGGCTCACTAACTGCTTCTGAATTCAACTCACTAAACGAACTCGGCTCACTAACTGCTTCTGAACTCGGCTCACTAAACGAACTCGGCTCACTAACTGCTTCTGAACTCAGCTCACTAAACGAACTCGGCTCACTAACTGCTTCTGAACTCGGCTCGCTAAACGAACTCGGCTCACTAACTGCTTCTGAACTCGGCTCACTAATCGAACTCGGCTCACTAACTTGCTCTGAACTCGGTTCGCTAAACGAACTCGGCTCACTAACTGCTTCTGAACTCAGCTCACTAAACGAACTCGGCTCACTAACCGCTTCTGAACTCGGCTCGCTAAACGAACTCGGCTCACTAACTGCTTCTGAACTCGGCTCGCTAAACGAACTCGGCTCACTAACTGCTTCTGAACTCGGCTCACTAATCGAACTCGGCTCACTAACTTGCTCTGAACTCGGTTCGCTAAACGAACTCGGCTCACTAACTGCTTCTGAACTCAGCTCACTAAACGAACTCGGCTCACTAACCGCTTCTGAACTCGGCTCGCTAAACGAACTCGGCTCACTAACTGCTTCTGAATTCAACTCACTAAACGAACTCGGCTCACTAACCGCTTCTGAACTCGGCTCGCTAAGCGAACTCGGCTCACTAACTGCTTCTGAACTCAGCTCACTAAACGAACTCGGCTCACTAACCGCTTCTGAACTCGGCTCGCTAAACGAACTCGGCTCACTAACTGCTTCTGAACTCAGCTCACTAAACGAACTCGGCTCACTAACTGCTTCTGAACTCGGCTCACTAAACGAACTCGGCTCACTAACCGCCGCACAACCGATCCCCACACACTCTCGAGCACGCGCATTCAAGACGCAAAAAATATTTCGGCACCCGGCACACCACATCCAATCAAAAAAGCCTCTTCCGGCTGTCGCTACGATCCTCCGCGTGCCACCAACTCTGGTCGACCAACAACTCCTAAGCCGGCCTTAGCGGCATCCTGAAAAATATCGGAGGTGGGGGGGCACGGAGCGGCTTTCAGCCGAATGCTCGATCCGTCACGGACTTGGAGCGACGGTCCATCGGTCGGTAGACCTAACCCGGCGGCGGCGACGGCGTCTCACTCTCCCGCGGTCCCCGCTGTCTCTCCCTCTGCCCCCTCTCGCGACCAGGCCTACCCCACCACGCTGCACGGCACCCTGCCCCGGAAGAGGCCCGTGGGCCGCGCGGCGTCGTGCGGCGTCGAGCAGGAGCGGAGCCAGCCCTGGCTGCGGCAGAACCACTCCAGGTACGGCGGCGAGCGCCCCAACCGCCCCCCCCCCCCCCCAAACTCTGTCAATACATAATCAGAATCTTTAGTTTTACCGGAGGAATCCGATGAGCTATGAAGCTCTTTTTCACGGGTGTCCAGTGTATGGAGCCGGCAAGGCCAGTGCATTGTGGGAGTCTGCATTGCACGGCAGGGGTTCCGCAACCGTTCGGGCGGGCGGGCGGGCGACCAAATCGGGTTCTCGGAAAACGCGCGGCTCGACCGCTTTGTCCGCAGTTGCTCCTTCCAGGGAGTTGAGAACGGGGATCTGCGCCCTTCGGAGTAACGCGGCACGCGGTGGAACGCGGTCGCTGCGGCCTCACCGAGCAGATCGATCGATCGCTCGCAAGTCGAGGCCGTCGCCCGCAGCGCGTGAGCGGCAACCGGTCGCAGGGTTGCACGCGACCGGCCCGATCGCCTCACCGCATGGACCCGGCTTCAACTCGGTGGCTCAGAGGTCAGAGTGACGGAGCCGGCATCGCCGAGATCTGGGTTCCAATCCAGGTTTTGACTCCTACCCCTCCCCGCCCGCCTCCGTGATTAAACCGGGTCTTCAAGTATAGCGAGTCGGTGCTGTCGGCCCGGCCACTGATCAAGCGATCGCGTTAAATCATTTTAAATTGCTACGAGAGAAAAAAAAACATATTGGAAATTTTCCAATCGCGTGAATGAGCAAAGAAATCGGCAGTCAAGGGCGAAAAAAAGTAAATATAAAACAGTAAGCAGGAGGAGCTCAGCGGGAGAGATATCGTGACGGCTTGGGGCAGGATTTCATCCAGCAGCGGATAAATCACAGCTGGTAATGACGACGACGACGACGACGGAGAGCTGCCTTTAATGAGCAGAGACCGAACTATTTTTAATGATTCAGGTAAGGCTACGTAGCTATTTTCTTGAAGTGACCTGGCGATCACAAATGCTAGCTCAACGAAGTGGCTTATCATCATCATCATCGTCACGTGGAAATGTACAGCAGTAGCCAAATACTCTGAACGCGTGGTGACGTTGATTCAAAATGTGGAGGAAAGAACCGGAGGACCCCGAGACAAATCCACGCGACGACGGTGAGAGAGAGAGACACGCAAACTCCAAATATACAGCAGCAGGCGTCAGGGTCTGGATCGAACCCACGACCTCCTGTATACCAGGCGAGGTAGTTAACATCTCCTAGCCACCGTGATGATGATGATGAGAGAGAGACACGCAAACTTCAAATATACAGCAGCAGCAGCAGGCGTCAGGGTCTGGATCGAACCCACGACCTCCTGTATACCAGGCGAGGTAGTTAACATCTCCTCGCCACCGCGGCACCAACATTCGGGCCGAAGCCGTAATCTTACCGCGGGAAATTAACAAACCGCGGGCGTTATGACTCACGATTGATCGTCGGTGATAAACAACAAAACGATGACAAAAAATGCCAACAATGCGCGGCGATTAACCCTCCGTTGAAAGCGTTTTGCGTCCGTTCGCGATCGTGCGATCAGGGGGTGCACTTAGCGATAATTATGCAAACGTAAGGGCCCCCCCCCCCACAGCCGGTTACCAAAGATGTTTAATGGCATAAAACGGATAAACATTTTGGCGTGTTTTTTTTGGTTTTCCGCGCGGACATTCAAAGGAAATCGCTTTCCCGTCGTCCCAAAATCCAAACCCTAGCGTCGGTGACGACGGTTTTTCGTGATATACACAAGGTTGACAACAAATATCGGCGTAAACATAGTCATTACATATTCGTACGTAAAGAAAATATATATATACACACACACAGCCACACGTCGTTTCGTCGACGCTGACGCCGGCAGACGACGCACGAGGACCGAAACGTCGCCTGTTACAGGCGACGTTTCGGTCCATGACCCTTCTTCATGACGGCACACATTTATCCGTGTGCTAATTGGCGAATGTGCAATTAAGATTTGCTGCCAGGCGTGAATCGTGTGTGTCAGTGTGTGTCAGTCTGTGTGTGTCAGTCTGTGTCACTGTGTGTCAGTCTGTGTCAGTGTGTGTCAGTCTGTGTGTGTGTCAGTGTGTGTCACTGTGTGTCAGTCTATATCAGTGTGTGTCAGTCTGTGTCAGTGTGTGTCAATCTGTGCGTGTGTCAGTCTGTGTCAGTGTGTGTCAGTCTGTGTCAGTGTGTGTGTGTGTCAGTCTGTGTCACTGTGTGTTAGTCTGTGTCAGTGTGTGTCAGTCTGTGTGTGTGTCAGTGTGTGTCACTGTGCGTCAGTCTATATCAGTGTGTGTCAGTCTGTGCGTGTGTCAGTCTGTGTCAGTGTGTGTCAGTCTGTGTCAGTGTGTGTCAGTCTGTGTGTGTCAGTGTGTGTCAGTCTGTGTCAGTGTGTGTCAGTCTGTGTGTGTCAGTGTGTGTCAGTCTGTGTCAGTCTGTGTCAGTGTGTGTCAGTGTGTGTCAGTGTGTGTCAGTGTGTGTGTGTCAGTCTGTGTGTGTGTGTCAGTGTGTGTCAGTCAGTGTGTGTCAGTCTGTGTGTGTGTGTGTCAGTGTGTGTCAGTCTGTGTGTGTCAGTCTGTGTGTGTGTGTCAGTGTGTGTCAGTCAGTGTGTGTCAGTCTGTGTGTGTGTCAGTGTGTGTCAGTCAGTGTGTGTCAGTCTGTGTGTGTGTGTGTCAGTGTGTGTCAGTCAGTGTGTGTCAGTCTGTGTGTGTGTGTCAGTGTGTGTCACTGTGCGTCAGTCTATATCAGTGTGTGTCAGTCTGTGCGTGTGTCAGTCTGTGTCAGTGTGTGTCAGTCTGTGTCAGTGTGTGTCAGTCTGTGTGTGTCAGTGTGTGTCAGTCTGTGTCAGTGTGTGTCAGTCTGTGTGTGTCAGTGTGTGTCAGTCTGTGTCAGTCTGTGTCAGTGTGTGTCAGTGTGTGTGTGTCAGTCTGTGTGTGTGTCAGTGTGTGTCAGTCAGTGTGTGTCAGTCTGTGTGTGTGTGTGTCAGTGTGTGTCAGTCTGTGTGTGTCAGTCTGTGTGTGTGTGTCAGTGTGTGTCAGTCAGTGTGTGTCAGTCTGTGTGTGTGTCAGTGTGTGTCAGTCAGTGTGTGTCAGTCTGTGTGTGTGTGTGTCAGTGTGTGTCAGTCAGTGTGTGTCAGTCTGTGTGTGTGTGTCAGTGTGTGTCAGTCAGTGTGTGTCAGTCAGTGTGTGTCTGTGTGTATATATATTGTGTGGGAGCGATAGTGTAGCGGTTAGCGCGCTGCGCTAGGAACCCGGCGACACGGGTTCGATTCCCGCTCACGGCCAACACCAGTGACGATTATCTGAACCGGTCTCGGGCCTCACCTAGGTCGACTCAGCCTCAAGTGAGTACCTGGTGCGGTGTGTAAACATTGCCACTGGGGAGACAAAGGCGGTCGGGCGTGGTGCTGGCCACCCACCCCCTCGTGTACCGTTCCGGCCTTCATAGGTGCTCGCTAACAGCACTTGCCCCTACAGTGTGTTAAGGCTATATGGGGGATCTTTGTTATCTTTGTCTTTGTTGTGTGTGTCAGTGTGTGTGTGTGTCAGTGTGTGTGTGTGTCAGTGTGTGTGTGTGTGTGTCAGTGTGTGTGTGTGTGTCAGTGTGTGTGTCAGTGTGTGTGTCAGTGTGTGTGTGTGTCAGTGTGTGTGTGTGTCAGTGTGTGTGTGTGTCAGTTGTTACATATTTCACTTTAATTCGTGGTTTTGTGGTATGTAACAACTAAGCTTGTGCCGGAGGCCCCGGGGGGCCAGGCGTCTATGACGTCTCCTGGCCAAACCCCAATTGGCGGAGCCAGGAGATTGAATACCTACCCTCGGGGCTACTCCAGAAACAACGAAAAGCCACTACGGGTGGCCACGTGGAATGTTAGAACGCTCACTGCAGAGGAGAGGCTGCCACTCCTCTGTCGGGAGCTGGACCGGTACCGCCTGGATCTATGCGGCATTCAGGAGGTCCGGTGGACCGGCTCTGGCTCCTGCCACCATGAGGGGTGGACAGTCCTCTACTCGGGGCAGCAGACTGCCAAACAACAGGGTGTGGGTCTTCTTTTGAACAAAAGAATGAAGGGGGCGTGGGAGCGTGGCGGTGAGGTGTGGGAAGCTGTAAGCCCCAGGCTACTTTGGGCTCGCCTTCCCATCAACCGGAGGCGAGGAATGGTGGTCGTGGTTACTTATGCCCCCACCGAAGATGAACATCCGTGGAGGGATGCAGGCAAAGCCGATGAGTCAGATGCCTTCTATGACCTCCTGTCACAGGTGCTGGCTAAAGTGGCCCCTCGGGATAGAGTCATCATGTTGGGTGACTTCAATGCCCGAGTTGGTCATGATACTGGCACCTGGTCTGGAGTGATTGGAGGGCATGGGCCAGATCAGCTCAATAACAACGGTAGGAGGCTGCTAGATTTTTGTGCAGCCCATGGGCTTGTAATTACCAACACGCTGTTCCGGCATCGGCGCATCCACACAACATCATGGATGCATGCCGGGTCCAAGCAAGAACATCTGCTGGACTACATAGTGACGGACCAGCGAATGCGAGCCCATGTCCTTGACACCAGGACCTACCGTGGAGCTGATCTGCCCTCTGACCATCGACTAGTCATCTGTAAGATACGCCTGCCATTCTTCCACTCCGGTGGTGGGTGTACACCCAGGACCCCATTCCAACCTAAAGTGGCCTGGTCTCAGTTATCTGATGAAAGTTGCAAGCGAGAATTTCATCATCGCTTGCGGCTGGGATTGGCATCGTCCCCGACTCCTCCTGATGTCGAGGGTAAATGGGCGAGGTTTAGGACTGTGACTCATGCAGCTGCAATGGCGGCTTTGGGTACGCGGTCCAGACCTCCCCAGACACCCTGGATGACAGAGGAGTTGTTCAGGATGGTTGAGAAAAAGCGACAGGCCCACTGTCATCGGCTACAGAATCCCACGTCAGAGAATGAGGAGGCTTACCGCAGCCTTCGCTCGGAGGTTCGGAGAGCCGTGAGGCGCTGCAAGGATGGGTGGTGGTCGCGGGTTGCTGAGGAGATGGA